CCGAAAAAGTGCATTTTGAATTCAAAATAGTACATTTTTTGTAACCATGTAGTTGTAATTGAACCACCAACACATGATGTGTTTGCAATTTGTACACATTTGATAGTAAGTATGTTTGACATAGAACCAATAGTACAATTTAGTTACAAAAAGTAATTTTTTGACACAAGATTTTTTTAATTAAATTTTTTTCTTCTAGTTTGTAACTATGTTTTCTAATTAAGAAAATTATAAAATCAAACATAACCTATCCAAAACATTTATGGAAAAAAACGAAGAACTCCTTTAATCCCACATGTAACTTCTAGAACCATAAAATTCAAGTATTCTTCTTCTAAGTATGAAATTGACTAGGGATCGTGTCTCCTTGTTTTAGACTCTGAGTTCATGTCCTTCTCCAAGTCTTTCTCCAATGCCAGATCATTAATGAGCATGCCAAGTGTGCAAAACTGGAGGGGGCCATGAAAATTCCAAAGAAAGTAAATTTCAGGGACACAAAATTGATTTTTAAACTATATTCTTAATCTCGAAATGCGGAGTGATGCAAGCGCTATTATATCGACATGGACACTAAAAAATAAATATTTTAATGACATTTACATGCTGGAAGCATTCTAGCAAATACAAAAAAAACTCAAACTTCATGAAGTCTTAAGCAATAAAATACTTTCAAATACATAATAGCATACTTCCAATTCTAAATACCATTAAAAGGCATATGTCTTAAGCAAAACATTGCAACATGCTTCCAAATGGCAATAAAATCCAAGAAAACAGACATTTAAGAATCTAAATATTAAAATAACTAAACATCAAAACTCTAATAAAAGTTCAATAATCATTAAAATATAAGTCTTCATCGTCACCTCCTCTGCCATTATCACCATCTTTATCCTCTTTTTACTCTTCAATATAAAAGAAACGTGCTATGTGTTAGCAACAACTCTCTCTTGCTTTCTTATCACAAGCATCATTAAGTTTATTTGCTTTCTTTTTTTCAAAGTTTCCTTTGGTTTTCTATAATAAATTACATTAAAGGGGCCTTTTGTATTCTTCTTGGCAGCCAACTTACTCCGTTGTTCAGCTGACATTTTTCCACTTTAAATCCTTGATATGTCTAGTAGATATAATGTTTCATCATCATCTTCATACACTTCACCTGGCATAGTTTTCTTTGCAGCCAGTTTCTTATCTTCATGCTTCTGCAAAATTAACTTAACGTCTTCAGGTGTTTGAGTGCAAGGCTTCACATTTCATTTTATTCCTAATTGATGTTGCTTAGCCCTAGAAATTCCTCCAATAGATGTTTCATTACAAAAATAACATGCAACCTTCCTCTTATTATTCAAGTCTTTTTCAAATGGTTAAATTTCCATCCTATATCACCTGTTAGTTTGTGTAGCTTAATAGAAGAAACAACTGATTGAGCATTAGATGATAATGGTTGAGTAGAATTAGCATGAGGATGAGTTGTCATGGCTGTTAAAAGAAAAAAAAGAAGAAAATAAGAAACAGATCAGAGGAGGAAGCAAGTTAAAGAATAATAAAATATAAAACTAAGCAAAATACCTGAAGCAATGGAGGTGTAAGCTCCTTAGTTTTAAGGATTGACATTAATTTTTGTAAAACAAATAAGACAACAATATGTTAGATATGATATGTTATCTTTCTAACAGGAACATGTTGAGCAAGAAGTCCTATCTTATGGAATACATGTTGAGTTAAAGTGTTTCAACATCTGGAGCAACATGTTGAATAATATGTTCTATGCCAATCATACAACATCGCCCCTGAGCTGAACTGAACTGTTAGATTCTGTTAAGTCACAAAGACAAAATATACCTTGAAGATATTATATTATTCTATGTGGTGATAATTTGTAGGTCAAGAATAATTAATAAGAATATTGACTTTCTAAATATGGAGATAATTTAGGAAGATTTGATTGAAGATCTATTTTGTAGCAGAATTTTTTGCAGATTTGTAACAACCAAATAACTGTGTTTTGAAGGCCCAAATTCAGTTGGGAGATATGTTATAAATATAAGCATTGTAACCTAGGATTGGTACCGTCAGAAAATATAAAGATGTCCCAACATGTCATAGGACATATGAGTTTTGTTATACCAGAATTTCAATTGGTATCAGAGCAGGCATCCTGTCTATTTCTGGATGAGATCCTAGGGGGATAATTTTTAGTTTATGAGCAAGGTAGAAGGTTTCTACTAAAAATCTGTTTGAACTTGGATAGTTCATATTGTTTTTGAACGGTCCCTTAAAGTGGAGGATAAACTATTCATGACAGGATTATGTTGGACCTGTCTGTTGTTATCATGCTTGTAGCTTTGGTAGTGAGCTGCTGTGTGGGGTTTGATTCATTTTCAAACCTATTTTTCCCTATTACACCTGGAGTGTGGTGTTTCTGTGCAAGGGTCTGTTGTGCTTGAAGGATGTTGAGTTGATTTTTGTCCCGCTACATGGTATCTGTTGTAACACTGGTTAGCATGTTATCAGGGTTTGGTCTTCTCAGTTGGTTTATCCTATGATGATGGGACATATGCAAGATTGTGTCAACCAACTTTAAAAGTTTTCAACGATACTTGGGTTTTATTTCTCAAGTCCACTCATAAAGTCACTTTAGTGCGTGATTGATGTATTTTTCAAGACACTTGTCATTTATTTGATAGATTATTAAAGAAAGGATAAAGCCATTTATTTTGGTTTCTACCAGAGTCTTCCTAATTCTTAACCTAATTAGGAAAGTGACTATGAGTCTTGATGTTGTTGGTATAACTTAAGCTTGGATTATTTTTGAATAGCTTGAAGATGACCAAGGGATGTTTTGGTTTTTTGGAAGCAGTAATGGCTTCAGAATCAAGCTCAGTTTTTGTGTTCTAGTAGAATGGAACTAATGTCCTACTAGATGTCGGGACATCATGTCAGCAGGTGTGCAACTTCCTATTGAATGACATATGCTTTGGGTGCTAAACAAATGTGGGTTGATCACATGTGTTTGGAACCTACTCATGATTTGGATGAGGATGCATATGGGCTTGTATCTTAGATGTTTTATCCAAAAAACACATCTTAGATTGGTGGGTTGATTAATGGTCAACTGATTGTCTACTTCTTGGTTTAGAGTCAAGCAAGTAGGAAGTGTAGAGGATGAGCTTAAGTTCCCTGGAGAAATATATTATCTCAGTCAGTTATGTGTATATATGAAGGTCAAGTTCATATATGAAGGATATTCTCTCTAACATCTGATGGATCCTTCTTATCGAAGGAGGCAGATTTATGGAATCTTGTTTGTGGCCTTATAGCAGATTCTATTTGTATTTAAAGAGTTTTGTATGGGTGTGCACTAACCACATGTTGCACTGCTATTTAGGAGGGATAATGTATAATTCTCTAAGTGGTTCCTGGCAGCTGTTGAAAGGGAATTCAAAATATGGAGTCGAAAGACCTTGAAGAAATGTCAGACATAATGCCTGGACATCTTTGTGTTGAGAATTTTTTCTCAACATGTTTGGCTGGCGTTTCTCGTAAACAAAATAGAGGTTGTCTACTCTAACTTGATATCTCTTATCAAGTATATTAGAGCATGAAACTCTTATTATGTTTAGGGGAGTATGGGCATGGAAGATGCATCAACCAAAGTATGGAGATAATTTAGGAAGATTTGATTAGAGACCTATTTTGTAGCAAAATTTTCTACAGATTTGTAACAGCCAAAAATATGTGTTTTGAAGGCCCAAATCTAGTTGGGAGATAGGTTATAAATATAAGCATTGTAACCTAGGATTAGTACCAACTGAAAATACAAATATGTAATCGTTAGGGATGAGTCTGTAGCCACTCTCTAAGAGAGTTGGTGTAAGTGAACCACTCGAGATGTGAGATGATCACTATGTTCTCACTCAGAAACATGTAGGTAATGAGTTGCGTATTGTTCTTGGAGGAAGCTTGTAAGTAACTCCAAGTTATTATTCTTAATCAATAGTCTTGGCTAGGTATTGTCATGTAAGTGTGTCTTCTACTTTGATGTCATGAAAGTGTGTCTTCCTGTGTTTTGATCCAATCGCTGTTTATGATTGACGAGGGATTGAGGAGGGCCTCATATCAAGGTGAGTCTTAGATAAAAGTCTAGCAAGGATATTGATTAAGTGATTAGGCCATAAACTGGAGGTTTGCCGAGGGTCTATGAATTGATACTATTTTAGTGGACTTATCCCTGGCTTGGTAACCCCTATAGTATGAAGGTTGTTTTGAACTAGATTACAATTGTTGTGTGTTGTTTATGTTTTTCAGTATTGTTTTTAACTAGTTATATGACTTTCCGTAATGTTTAAGTCAAATCAGATGTCCCAACATGTCATAAGACATATGAGTTCTGTCATACCAGAATTTCAAGAGGAATAGAGATGATGAGCGATGGAAGAACAAATAAACTTTGCGATGGAAGAATAAAGAAGAACGAGGAAACTTTTGCGATACAAAACCAACCACAAATGAACTTAAGAAAATGAATTAGGGTTTCTTCAAACGGTTAAAAATTAAGGGTAAAACCATCCAACTCGATCCACTTTACTAAACCAAATAAACTGACTGTTTTAGACCGTATCCGACCCGCAATCGCAGCCTCGCCACCCACTTTCTCATTTCGCGCCAAACCGATACGCTACCATTATTGCATACACGACCGTCTCTATTAACAACATAATTTTTTTAAAACGAGAGAACTAAAAATTTAAAAATATCAAATCACATGAAAACAATGCATTTAAACCCATTTGTTTTGTAAGAATTTTTTTCTTTCATATATCCAAAATAAAGAAGAAAAAAAAAAGAAAGAAAAGCGGGAGGCGGAGAGGTAGAAAAACCCTAATTAGTCAATATAAATATTTAAGCAAACCTTAAACCTAGCATTTTTCTCTTGCAAACGAGTTCCCCCTTTCTCCACTCCTTTTCCCCATTCGCCTCTCTTTCTCTCAACCTTTCAAATGGACTCATCAATGGAGTTTTGGGGTAACTTTCTCTTCTCTCTTTCTCCATTTATCGCTATGGTTTGTTTTCTACTAGTATTACACCGAAATCGCAGCACTCTCTGTGTTCTAGTAGTATTGATTTTAATTCACTATATATTTGTTGATTTTTGCTGTTGTTGCAACGTTATCTTATTTTACATCGGTTTGAAATTTAGGCGTTGAGGTTAAAGTTGGAGAAACTGTGAAAGTTGATCCAAACGAGGACCTTGAGGGATACATTCATATTTCTCAGGTTAGAATCTGTTAATTAGGTTAAAGTTATTTAATAATTGTTGATTAGGTTTTGAAATATTAATTTTTTTGATGTAACTTGTTTTCTTCAGGTTGCACTTGGAGAGGTTAAGAAAGGGAAAGCTATTGAACCTGTTGTTCTGTATGTGAAAGTTGAGGATCAGAAGATTGTTCTGGGAACTCTTGTTAAGGATGAGATTCCTCAGATTTCTATGGATATAGTTCTGGACCAGCAGTCTGAACTTTCTCATAATTCCAAGAATGCTTCTGTTTATTTTTGTGGATACAAAGCTTTTAGGTATTTTTTAAGCTCTCGATCTGTTGTTAATTGGGTTAAGTTTGTTTAGAGATTGTGTGTTTGGACCTGTTGTATTTGTTTTGTATTTTTCATTTTGGTTAATAGTTGTTTATCTTTCTTTAGTGAATGTGTGTTTTGGAGATGTGACCCATGTTTTAAAAATCGAACCTGAACCGACGAGACATCTTGGTCATGGATTAATTGTCCTAAACAGTTTGATCTGAGACAAAACTGTGTGAAAGTAATGGCTGGTTCATCTGGTTGAATGGTTCGGTTTGGATTTTAAAACATTTGATAATCATCTTAGTGTATGTTTGATTTAGCTTTTGGAAGCGCCAAAAGCAAATCTAGAGGTGTAGAACTGATTTTGGAATGATTTTGAGGTGTTTGGTTTTTCTAAAGTAGAATTGATTCTGCCTCTTTCTTCAAAATTGATTCTACTTGAAGTTATAATTTGTAGTTTTTGAGTTTAATTGTGATTTTTACATCAAAGTTTACTGTTCAACTCAATTTTCCACAGTTATCCAAATACAAATTACTTTTCATTCAACTCACTTTTAACTAGAATCAATTCTCTGAAAATCAATTCTGTTCAACTCACTTTTAACATATGCTTAATTCTTCATATTTATGGCATATTTGTTGTTTTTGTTGTTTTTGTTGTTGTCAATCATCCTAATGTATCAATGTGTAACATGCCTCACTACTACTCTTTATCATTTATATTCCCTTTTCTCTTAACTTATGATGTGTTCCCTTTTGCAGCCCTGAAGATGAATCTGATAGCTCTGACTTTTCTGGTAAGACTCAATTATTTCCTGCAAAATGTTATTGTTCTGGTTAAGTTGGTTGCTCAAACATTGTTTGTTGTGTTATTTGAACAGATAGTGATGAAGAACTTGTTCCTTTGAAGGAGGATGGTAGATGCCGTCTCTTAGACTAAAGTTTATTGTTAGCTGTACATTATATAATACTACTTTGATAACCAATAATTATATTCTTTTATGAAACCTTGAATTAAAAGCTCAAGCAGTAAAGGAGGCTGCTAAATCTGGAAAACCTGCAGCTGATGCATTGACAAAGCAAGTTAAGGTTACTGATCCAACTAATGGTAAGACTGTTGATCCAGAGAAAAATGAAGACGACTCGGATGAATCAGATTCAGATTATTCTGAGGATGAAATTTCTGATGATGAGGTATTTTAGAAACTTTGGGTTTAATTTGCACTTTCATATACTTTGTTCTTTTTTTGTGATGTAATTTGTTTTTTTTTGTTCTGTAAAAAGGAAATAAGATGTTTTTTCTTGAGTTTATCTGGTTTCTTGGAGTTTCTCTCACGAGAAATTGATTTTTTCTTGCTGGTATATTGGTATTCAAGGTTTTTAATGGTAAATTCTTCCATTTTGCATTTTAGATCGATACTGATGCTCTTACTGGTAGTAGTGATGAAGAGACTCCTGCTAAGAAGGTAATGAACAGTTGTACAATGCATATCTCTGTTTTGGTAATTTGTTATATTTCTTTTGTGTTTAAATTGCACTTTCATGTAATTTGTTCTGTGTGATGTATCATTATTTTTTCTAGATAAACTCTTTCAGAGTTTATCCGAGTCTTCTTGGTAAACTTTGGTTTTATCTCTTATAGAAATTGATTTTTTTTCTTACTGCTATAGCAGCATTCAAGATTTTTTATAGTAAACTCTTTCATTTGTCATTTTAGATTGATAATGATAGTGATAGGAGTGAACAAAATGATACTCCTAAAAATATCAATAGTGATACGTATAGTAATATGGGTAGTGATGATGAGACTCCTGCTAAGAAGGTAATCAGCAGCTGTTCAATGCAGTTCTCTGTTGGTGTAACTTGTTCTTTCATTAGGGTTTAACTTTCCCTTTCATGTAACCTATTCTGTGTGATGTATCATCATTTTTTCTTTGTAATCCATTGTCTGTAAAATGGAAATAAGATGCTTTTTTCTAAGAGTTTATCCAAGTCTTGGTAAACATTGGTTTAATCTCGTACTAGAAATTTGTTTATTCTTGATGGTAACTGGTATTCAAGATTTATGATGGTAAATTCTTTGATTTGTCATTTTAGGTTGATAGTGATGAGAGTGAGAGTGAGCAAGACGCTACTCCTAAAACTATTGATTCTGACAGTGATGCTGATAGTGATTCTGAGAGTGAAGAAGAGACTCCTGCTAAGAAGGTAATCAACTATTGTACATTGCATTTCTCTGATTTATTATGCACATTCTTCACCAGTATTTATACACTTTTTCATGTGTTGAAGGTGGTGACTCAGGGAAAGAACAACAAGAGAGGAATTGGTGCTAGTTCACAAACTCCAGTTTCTGCCAAGAAAGCTAAGATTGGTACTCCTGAAAAGACCGGTAAGTGGGTATACAGTTTACTCGTATTCAATAAGTGTTTGGCACATGAAAGCCTATGCAATAGGTGATTTAATATAAGCTTATGTGAAGTTTATTAATATAAGCAAAAAAATGCCTATAAGTATGTCCTAATGTATTTTTAGAAGCTTAACAAAACACATTAAGTGCTTATTTCACATGATTAGTTATCAAATAAGATCCAGTAAAGCCCTTTGTAAATGGTTCTTTTAGTTTTCCCCACAGTTTTCCTTTTGGATGTCAAATCTTACAACTTACAAGTCTAGTTTTAAATGCTTGGTTTTCTGCTGAGTTTATGATAATAGTTTTCTTAAATTTGTCTCCATAACAACTGGATTTGTCGAATTGAGCCCACAACAAATTTATACATTTTCTGTTTGAATAATAAATTTAATTGCTTACAATGTTCGTTGTTTGAATGATAAATTTAATTGCTTAACTTTGTGTTGTAGGTGGTAAAAAAGGTGTACATATAGCAACTCCCCACCCTACAAAGCAAGGTGGAAAATTTAATCAGAATGCTGCAAAGGGCCAGACTTCCAACTCTAGCAAGTATGATTTATTTTTTTTCTTCTGGAAATTCAGTAACCAATTATTTTAACAAACTTGAGTAGTTTTGCCTAGTTAGATTGTGATTTAATTATGATTTATAATTGTATTTCCAGGTCTGGTGGCTCCAAATCTGGTCAACAAAATAAGAAGTCTAAGCAAGGACGTCGGTGATATTGCATTGATTACCATATTCACTTAGTAATTTTCCCTTGTACCTTGAGTATGGTAAAAATGTTTTGGTGCTTTATCCTAGCTTTAGTAAGCTGTGGAAACTGAGAAGTTTACTGGGAAATCATGTCTGAAAATTTTGTCAACATTTAAATTTTGAAATCATGTCCGAAAATTTCATTTTATTGATATTACTAGCTTTAAATCTTGGCTGTATTGCTCAAAACAAAAAAAATTCTTGGGTGTTAATTTGTGTTTGGTTATTATTGGATTTGGAGTTTTAGTTTGAGTTTTATAGTGTAGTTTTTGTATGCTGTTATCCTGTAAAGTAGTTATCAAGTACAACATAAATAACATCAGTATAATTTGGATGAACAAATAAGAACTGATGTAAGATTCAAGAATTCAGGTAGGGCCTGTGGGTGGTTTTATACTAAATAATTGGATTGAAATCTTTGGTACAGATCAAATTTTGCTATGCTATTGTTTATACAACCTCTTGACAACACTTAGTAGTAGTGATAATAGGTGACAAATTTAATCGATTGGGTGGGAATAGATAAATCAAAACAATCGATCAAATGTATTTGTAAAGATTTTGATTCAATCATCCCCATTAAACATAAAAGTTAATTAATTGATTCATTTTTAGATTTAATTTTTTATTTGAAGAATATCCAACAAATTCATCAATTAAATTTGACAATTTCTCTTTGCATCCTTATACTTTTAGGACCTTATACTTCTAGGACTTTAGCGAAATTTCAAAGATGTCCTTTATTTTTGAGATGCTTCTATTGAAATTTCAAAGATGTCCTTTATTTTTGGGATACTTTTATTTTTGAATAAATTTTATTTTAAAAAAATTTTGGAAATGCATGTTCAAAAATTCTTCCTATTTGATCTAACTAACGAATTTAACGAATTAGGTCCTCCTATTCTAAATTTAAACAATTTTTGGTTCTCTCTATTTTAAATATAAATAATTTTAGTCTTCTATTTTAAATTTAAATTGTTTTGGTCTTTCTCTCTTTTTTTTTAACTTAAAATTAACGATGTTTTTATTTTTTACATGATAAATTATTTGTAAAATATGATAAATCATCGTATATAAACTTATTATTGAATCTTGTAGATAAAAATATAAGTTAAAAACAAAAATTTCATTGATTTTCTATAAAAAAAAACGTGAGAGACTAAAACTATTTGAATTTAAAATAAGAGAACTATTTTCATGAATCAAATAAAATAAGGGGATCAAAGTTGTAATTTAACTTATGTTTTAAAAAAAATAGATTGACACACCTAGTAGTCACGCATCAAATAAAATAAGGGGATCAAAGTTGTAATTTAACTTATGTTTTTTAAAAAATAGATTGACACACCTAATAGTCACACATCAGTAATATAACAAATATGTAAGTACTAATAATTTTTCTATTGAGAAAAAATTAAAATGAAATTATAAAAATATGAAAATACAATTAAAAAAAATTAAATAAAGTGTACAATTTTTTCTAGATTTTTTTGAAAATATGAAAACAGAAAATAAATCAAACAAAATAGAAAAACAAGGAATTTAGTATTTTTAGAGTGATGTCTCATATTTTATCTCAAAATAAGAAATTTAGATTTTTCTTTTGATGAATTGACAAAATAAAATTTTGATTCAAAATCGTTTTTTCAGAAAACAGAATTTTGTACGTTAGGCCGCGTAAATGCCAGAAACACAGGAACGCAAGGGTCTGAATGCGAAGATACAATTCCTATGACTCTAATATTGGTTAACATCGATAAAGAGTCCCGACAACTGCGCCAATTTCAATAAAAATGCGTAATAAATGAGTTAAAGAGTGTTTTTAGATATTGAGAAATTTCAGAGATGCATTTATGAACCAATTTTTTCTAATACGTTTGGAGATGTATCTCCGAATAAACTCAAAAGCATTTATGGGTTTTCAAGGATGCGCCCCAATATATAAGAGTGTAATGATAAATTGCCTAAAATTTTAGCTTATATACACTCTTGACCCTCTAATTTGGTGAAGTTTAATTTTAATAGTCTGTTTTAAAATCCAGTTTTTTAAGTCCTTAAATTTTATATTCTTTAGAATTTTGTTGGTACCCTTCAATTCTGCACAACCGACTTCTTCATTAATGACGTGACATTGATATAATAGAATTAAGTCATATTTATTTAATTATTTAATTAAAGTTATTTATTTTCAATTGGTAAATTATTAAAAACGTTTTACATTTCAATTTAATCATTACCAAATCATTAAACAAATACTTAATTTAATTTAGTTATTCTATGGATGTTTGAGAAGAAGGTGAATGATAGGTGAGAAAATAAAATTAAGAAACACAATAAACTCTTAAATTGCACTTTTATGAATGTTTCTACACTATCATGAAAAGTCTATAATGTCCCTAGCATTTAGAGATGTGTCTCCGAACACACATATTTTCACCATTTCTCTGACCAAATTGAAGAGACACTCACTTTACGTTAAAATTAATTCGGAGATGCATCTTCGTATGTATTAAAAGTATGTTCAAAGATGCATTTCCGTAAATATCATTTATTTAAAAATCATGTTGGTGACCCGGAGATGCATCTCCGAACATTTTTCTTTCATAACTCGAGCCAAAACCCTTCCCTCTTCCCCCTTCATTTTCTAAAAAGTTCTAAAAAAATATTTCACCTCTCCCTCTCCCAATCATTGAAACATCTCTTCATTGCATTGAAGCATTAGGGGAGCTCGTTCTCCTCCTTTCTAGATCTCATAACATAAAAGCTTCTCCCTGTCATTAATCAATTTCATTTGGTATGTTTTTCAAATTTTATTTTCTTTTTATGTTTTCATTTGTAATTAGGTTTTTAGGATACATAATTGTTTTAGTCACATTAGGTAGTAGTGCAAACGAAATTGGTAGGTTGGAACAACATGTAATGAGGTTTTTTGAAACTGTTAGGGCAAAAAATGGGTTGCTGCCATGAGAGACCATCAAAGTTTGTCTGGAGATGCATCTACGGATTTTCTTTGAACTTTTTTTTGGAGATGCATCTCCAGAATGGACTCAATTAAAAAAATAGAGTTATTTTGTGAAATTTGTGAATTTCTATGGACATGCTGTTTATATCCGTCTCTGTTTAAAATGCAGGTGCAATGGCAAAAGACAACATTTGTTAGATTAGGCTTGGGCGTATGTCCCAAACTGCATCAGAACAATGTGAGAGGGCCGCAACGAGGACCACGAGTTACAAATAACTCGTTTGATGCTGCGTCAACTTCGTAACCCTGACCGTCTGGTTCTCATAGCTGACTCTCTCAGGCATCTTAGGCATATGATGCATCATAACCTAAGGATTCTGAGGCACTTGTTGAACCTGAAGCCCTTGAAGTCCAAGAGGAAGCCGACCTGGATGCCCATTAGAGAGTTATCCAGGAGGCCCAGTTGACACCTCCTTACTTTATAATTATGTAAGGCACGCTGCTAGACATGTCTGGCATGAAGAGACATATTTTTTTAATACGTATGTCAACTAATTATATCCATACTGATGCTTATGTTTTCTTTTTACAGGATCGTGATTGTTTGAAAATGATTAACCACGACAAAAAGATATTGGAGTTGCCACAACCAACTGACGGGGGTTGACCCTGCTAAGGCGGCGAATAAGGAAGCTCATACTAGAGGTGCTCATGCACAGTTTAAATTTTTGGAAAAACTTTATAAAGAACATATGAATAGGGCTTTGGATGCCATTGGTGATGATGTGCATGTTGAGTACCACCGACATTGCACATTGAGGTGTTACCTATTGTTCTTGGTTGGCACGTCTATGTTTGTGGACAAAGTGCAACATATGTCAATGTGGTCTACCTCAAGTACTTCATAGACCGGACTCCGATTCACAAGTACAACTGGGGGCGTATGTTTGGTGTACATGTACTCAAAGTTGGGTGAGCGTTGTCTTTGAAAGATAAAGTAAATGACAGGGTGCTACACATTGCTTACGGTAATTTCTTGTTACTAATATTTTTATAATTTATTTGTTACACTTGTTATTAATATTGTATTTGAATCATTTTCAAGGATGGATCATCTCCCACTTGCCTCGCATCACTGGGTTTGAAGCTGCGCCTAAATACATAGAGGACTTACCTTGTGCAGCCACTTTTGTTTCGTATATGGGGAATGGTGCAGTTGATCCATTCAGACCATCTCTTGACCGTATGGTACCAGATGACGTTTTCTTCTGCCCATACGAGGGTCACCACCAGACACGTTAGTTTGACGTCATTTTCTTATACTCTGATTGGCTGAGATGTGGTTCGTCTCTTATGTATCCCTATCCGTCTGAGAGAGTAATTGATTAATTTGGATACTTTCATATTACTCTGAGACCTCCCCATGAGTTCACTCCTCCCACTGTCCCCCACAGAGACCTACAAGTGATACTAGATGATTTCGAGAGTCATCTGATACCAGAGGAGTATCATCGAGAGCCACCTGATGTACATTTGGCTTGTGCTGAGAACTACTTGACATGGTTCTATAGGGTGTCACCGAGAGCCAACTCATGTACCCTATCATGATGCCATACGCTCATGGAGAACCACCTAGGCTGGCTAACCTGGAGGTACTTAAGGTTTGCGGTGAGTAAGCAGAAAGTGTGACAACGGTATGTCGACATGTTGCAGAGATGGGTAGAGCAACCATAGAGTCAGAAATCTTTGAGGATGGGAGTCCCCAATTTTCTTTAGTGGAGCGCATGGTTTCCGAGTTACAAAATGTTGTCTAATAGAGACGGCGGAGGAGGCAGACAGTTAGACATACACAATAGTTTATATTGGGATGTATTATTTTTTGTTGTATTTCATGTGTATTTTTGGACAAATATTATGTATGAATTTTCTTGACTTTTTTATTATTAATGTTTGAATTTTTACCCTTCTTTAACATTAATATAACTTTATTTTACTTTGATTTTA